ACAGTTGTCGAGCTGGAGAGCAGCCAGGATGGTGAAGAGCTTCCTGTCTATGTCTTAGGAAGATCAGATGAAGAACTAGCATATTTATCCTGAAGAGGAGAAGATTTCAGAGACAGGATAGCTGTCTTTACATATTTGAAGGTCTTTCATGTGGAAGGATTAAACTGGTTCCTTTTGACTTCAAAGGGCAGAACCAGGAGGAGTGGGATGGAAATTACTAAGAGGAAAAACTTAGGCCAGATGCCTAACAATTCAAGCTCACTGTTCAGAAGTGGAGTGGACTGGTTCAAGCAAGAGGTGGGAGGTTCCCTCAGAGATTTTCAAGTAGAGGCTGGACAGCCACTGGTTGGCAGTTTTATAGTGGCAATTCTTTTTGTGTATGGATTTGTAGATTAGAGGGCTCTTGAGGTCCCTCCCCTCTGAATTTCTGTAATTGTGATTTTGAGAAGTTCTAGGTCTTCTTTTATGTCTTGGATCCATGCCACAGGGAGAAAACAGACTTTCCTTTTGTTTATCAAAGTAAGTCAGTAAGGATTTATTATGTATCTATTGTGTGCTAGGCAGTGTGATGGGGATACAAAGAAAAAAAAATTCCATGCTTTCAGTTTGTTGGAGAAGACAACATGCAAATGACCACATACAAATAAGATAGATACAGGACTAATTGGAGAGAATCAATGGAAGGAAGGCACTTATCATTAAAGGGAACTGGAAATGAATTATGGAAGGTGGAATTTTAGCTGGGACTTGAGGGAAGCCAGAAGAAAGAGATGAAGAGTGTTGGAATTTCAAACATGGACAGCCACTGAGACTGTAGTGAGGAGACTGAATATCTTGTGTGAGAAACAGCAAGGAGGCCAGTGTGATACTGAGGTGCAGAGTGTATGGGCCAGGGGACGAGGTCTAAGCCAGACAGGATGGAGAGGGTCTGCACCAGGGCGCTGGCAGTGTCGAGAGACGCTTTAGGAAGGTGGAATCAACAGGACTTGACAACTGATTGAGGACACCTAGTTTTCTTTCTTTCCTTCTTTTTGAAATAAGTTTTTGCTGATGTTTTCTGTTTCTTACATCAGCATAGTTAGTTACCCAAGGATCTCTCCTCCACCCCCTCCAAAAGAGCCATCTCTTATGACAAATAGTGCGCATTTAGGGAAGAAAAAAATAGTGCAATTGATGGATATATTGAAGAAGTCCTCAAACATGTATAACACCTCCTACCTCCACTTCCCTTCTTATCCTGAACGCACTGATGTTGTCTGTGCAGAAGCTTCTCAGTTTCAGGTAATCAAAGTTATCTGTTTTATCTTTTGTAATTGCTTTTATGGACAGCTAGGTGATACAGTGGATATAGAGTGCTGGGCCTGGAGTCAGGAAGACTCATCTTCCTGAATTCAAATCTGGCCTCTGATACTTACTAGCTATGTGACCCTGGGCAAGTCACTTAACCCCAATGCCTAGACAAAAAAAAAAAAAAGAATTTGGATTATGATGGAAGGTGTTACTCTTAACCTATTTTCTGCTAATCTGCTTTCCTGTTTTCCCAACAGTTTAAAAATTTTTTTTTTTTTTATCAAATAAGGAGAATTCTTCCTAAATAATTTGTTTTCTACTTTATCATACACTGGGTTATTAAGTTCTGTTTTTTCTGAATCTCCCTTTTCTAGTCTGTTTCATTGATATATCTCTCTATTCTTTAAACAATACTACAGGGTTTTGTGATTTGTGATCTGAAAGTGCTGTTCTCCCTTCATCTTTTCATAATTTCCTTTGATAAGTCTAGATTTGTTGTTTTTCCAAATGAATAAAGCTCTGCAAAGTATCCCCTTGGTAATTTGATTGGTATAGCATTAAAGATGTAAAGTAACTTTGATAGTGTTGTCATTTTTATAATATTGGCACAGTCTAGCCATAAGCACCAAATATTGCTCCAACTATTTAATATTATTTATTCTTTAAGGAGCACTTTGTAATTGAATCTATACAACTCTTTTGTGTGATTTGGGAGGTTGATCCCCAGATATTTCATGCGTTTTGTAGTTATTTGGAATAGGATTTCCCTTTCAATTATTTCTTCTTGTGTTTTGTTAGTATTATATGGAAATGCTGTAGAGGACTTACTTTGTGGCCTGAAGTTGTTTCAATTAGTATCTTTGCTGATTACCTAGGGTTTTCCATCATATCAGCAAACAGAGATAGTTTTATCACCTCCTTACTAACTTTATTCTTTTAACTCCTTTCTGTTGTCTTCTTGTTGTTGGTAGCATTTTCAGAACTATATCAAACAATAGTGGGGAGAGTGGGCTTCCTAGTTTCACTTCCCTGTTGATTGGGAAAGGTTCTGTTATATCCCTGTTGCCATGTGATACTTGCTTTTGGTTTTAGCTAAGTGCTTTTTATGATATTTAAAAAGATCACCCTGTTCCTATATTTTGTATGATTTTTAGCGTAAAATTGTGTTGAACTTTGTCCGAGGTTTTTTCTGCACCTATTGAGATGATCATGTGGCTTTGGATATTTTAGTTTTAATATCATTAATTATGTTGATGTTTTCCTAATGTTAAATGACACTTAGTTTTCAAATTTAGATGGTGGTGTCCTCAACAGTAATAGGAAAGTTTAAAAAAGGGTGGTGGGTGGAGTCAAGATGAAGGAGAGAAGTCAGCAGTTTTGCCAAGCTCTCCCAACCCACCTCTCTGAACAACTTTAAAAAGTACATGAAATTGAATTCTGACAACAAAAAGGCACAGTGAGTCATTTTTCCAGCCCCAGGAAGCTCAGGAAGACATAGGGATCTGCAAACACTGCTTGGTGAAAGTGGCACTGGCTGTGGGCCTTCACTAGGTGATAGCACCAGGAATGCCCAGTGCACAGAGACAGTAAAGGCACCAATCAATCACCTGGGCAGAAACAGATTCCTAGGACCCCCTGTGTTAGCACTGGGTACAGGATCAGGTGCTATTTGGCAGCTCTCTTGCCCATTACCCAGTTCCAGGGAGGAGGAGAGGAGCAGTTGAGGTTGTAAGGGTGCCAGGGGCCCTTTCTACATAAAGACCAGAGCACAGGCCAGGAGGGCAGTGACTAATACTCTTCTCTGTATCACACCGTCTTGGAAGTGCCAAAATCTTACAGGTCCCCAGACATAACTTTGAAAGCAACAGAAGGAAATAAAAATCAGAAGATAGGTCAGATATTCCCCTACTCCCATCTTCAGAGGTAAACGGAGCCCAACTCTAACATACTGATCAAAGTCAAGAAATAGACTGGGAAAATGAACAATTAAAAAAAAAATCTGACCACAAAAAGCTACTTAGATGACAGGGAAGCTCAAGACACAAACTCAGAAGAAGAAAATGACTTGAAAACATCTACAAGCAAAGTTTTTTTGTTTTTGTTTTTTGTCTTTTTTTGGAGGCAGTTGAGGTTAATTGACTTGCCTAGGGTCACAAAGCTAGTAAGTGTCTGAGGCCAGATTTGAACTCGGGTCCTCTTGACTCCAGGGCCTGTGCTCTATCCACTGTGCCACCTAGCTGCCCCCAGAAGCAAAATCTTAAAGAAAAATGCAGATTGGACACAAGCCCAACAAGAATTTCTAGAAAAATCTAAAGAAAGATATTAAAAAATAAGATTTAAAATCAAATAAGTGGTAGAAGAAAAATCGGGGAAAGATGTGAGAGCACATAAGTATATAAAGTAGTTGGTAGGCAGAGCACTAGCAGTTTGAGAGATCAGGAAAAGCCTAGTATAGAAGCTGATGCTTGAGCTGAATCTTGAAGGAAGGAAGGGATTCTTTGAGGTAGAAGTGAGGAGAGAGTAAATTCCAGGCAAGAGGACAGGCATTGCAAAAGACGGGGAGAAGTACTTTGTGAGGAGCGAAGGGAAGATCCGTTTGACTTCACCATCGAGTACAGAAAGGGGAGTAGTACATGAGGAAGCTGGAAAAGCGGTTTGGGGACAGGTTGTAAAGAGCTTTCAGAGCCAAATGAAAGTTTGTATTTTTTTTTCTAGAAGTAATAGAAGCTTCTGGAGTTTATTGAGTTAGAAGAGTGATGTTCAAACCTGCACGTGAGGAAAATCACTTTGTCAGCTCTGCGAGAGACTTGAGGCAGGGAGAGCATATAGGAGGCCAGTGCCACAGTTCAGGGCTCTTTTCACTACATATACCATGTTACTTCCAGAACTTGAGAGAGAAAATCATCTTTTGTTGATTCACTTCTTCATTTCTTTCCCTGTCACATCCCAGAAGCCTCCACATCTTGCAAGATCTGCCTTCCTCCGATTGGTCAGCTACTCTTGCATCCTGCATTTTAAGGAAGGGCCCTAGCTAGTCATGTTTTCTCCATCACTGCTTTCAGGCTCTGCTCCTGCTTTTTTTCTTCACTGTACCGTTTTATGGACCCCTTTTCTGATCCTGGGCAAGTCACATAACCTCGTAGTGCTCTAGGCAATTCTTTTAGATGATGAATTGTAGAGAAGGAGCTGACCTTTAGATACAGAAACAGTTTCCTCGTCTTTGAATTTGCTAGATCATCGAACTCACAGTTTCACTATCCCCCTTTAGTTTTGTGCATATTTTAATGTTTATATACCTGCATGTATCTTGTCTGCTCCATAGAAGGTGAGCTCCTTGAAGATAGGGACGATTTAATTTTGTCTTTGTATTACCAGCATCTCACATAATGCCTGAAACATGAGCACTAAATAGATTTTCTTGATTAGTTGATTATATTGTTTTCCTAGTTCTGTTTATTAATTTTTATTGTCAAAGGGCCTTCAAAATTTTTAAAAAAATTTAATGTAGTTTAGCTGTCAAAATCAACTTAATAGCATGAAATATGTGCTTGTCATTTTTAATATAAAATATGTCACTCCTGCAGAGGTAGTCAAAGAAAATACGGACTTTAAATATCACTACGTAACAGATACAGATAAAAAGTTTTATAAGAAAATAATTTCACGTGATGCAGAAATAAGTTTCCTTTTTTCTCTTCCCTCTCTTTTAGGGCAATTTTGTGTGCCAGGTCTCGTTATTTTGCAGCAATGCTGAGTGGATGTTGGGCTGAAAGCTCCCAAGAGCACATCACTCTTCAAGGGTAAGCATAGTTTTTGCAGGTCAAATGGAAACAGCAGTTGGCAGTTTGACTGCAAATCATTGCAGATAATGCTGCATACAAAGCACTTTTTATGAGTCTCCTTTGACAGAATGTTCAGTGTAATGAGGTATTTCACATAGTAGAATTTTGCAGCATTGATTACTTCTTTTACTATTTGCAGTAAATGGTAGTAGTTCAGTAAATAAAGGTTTGGCCCAAATACATGTGTTCCCGTACAACACACTATAGAAACCTGAGGGTGTTTGATATATCTTTACATTTTAATCTGTATGTTGTCTAAGATAATGTCCTTGTCTGCCTTCTAAAATTATTTTGAGTTTTCTATTCTACATACTTAGATTGCATATCCCTTAAATTTGATTTTTATACACCTCCAGCCCTTGCTAAAAATAACAATCCCTTAAAATGTCATTCATAAAGGTTTGTGTATATATTAAGCATCTACTATGTAGAGGGTGCTATGCTAAGCTCTGGGGATATAATGAAAGGCAAAAGACAGTCCCTACCCTCAAGGATCTTACAACCTAATGGGAGAGAAAAACTGCAAACAGATATATAAAGCAAGCTGTATAGCATTCAGGCAATTAAAATGGGTGGAGTTGGGAGACAGAGGGTCTGTGCAAGGAACAGAAAGGAGGCCAGTGTCACTGGATCAAGGAGTACATGGTGATTGTGAGGGGAGAGGCTATAGAGTGGATGAAGACTGGAAAGGTGGGAGGGGCCAGATTGTGAATTGCTTTGAATGCCAAACAGAAGATTTTATATTAGATCCTGGAGGTAATAAAGAGCCACTGAAGATTATTGGGTAGGAGGTTATCATGGTTAGACCAGAGGAGTGGATGATCAGTTAGGAGGAGAAAGAATTAGGAGAGAGTATTGTCATGAAAACCTATCAAGAAATGGTGATCTACAAAGTCAAAGGCTGCAGAGAGGTCAAGAAGGATAACAGTTAAGAAAAAGCCAGTAGATTTGACAATTGAAAGATCGTTAGTAACTGGGGAAAGTTCTACTGAATGATGAGATCAGAAGCCAGACTTAGAGAGTGAAGAGGGTGTGAGAAGAGGAGGTGGAGGTACCTGCTGTACTAGGAGTTTAACCACCAAAGGGGGAGGGGAGATAGGATGAGAGTGAGCGAGGCTGGGCAGATTGGCATTTGGGGAATGTGGACACATAGGCCTGCTGGAGGTAGGAGGGAAGAAGAGAGATTGAAGGTGAGTGAGAGAGTGGGGATAATAGAAGGGGCAGTCTGCTGGGGAAGACAGCGACTCGCATGTAACATTAGTGTATGTAATATTTCCCTCCTCTTGTCTCCCTCTTTACCAAGAGGAGAGAAGTGTTTGAGCATGAAGAGACTATTTAGACGACTGGTCTATCAAATAATCACCATACTCTGCCGAGATAAATTATTTAATAGCTACTTGATTACAGGTTTACATGCCTGAGCTTCTGGAAAGCTCTTGTTAGGGCATAGAATTACTTGACTATCTAGTACCTATGTCTATCTTCTTTGGAACAGTACCTGTATAGGGACTATGATCCTAAGTGTCTATAATTGCATTTTAATATAAACTGTGTATTAAATCTTTCCATTTTAGCTATTTAAGGGCTGTTTCAGCATTGGAGAGGTCTTTGTCAGTAGGTGTTACATTGTAGGTGTTCATGTTTTTCTAAACATATATAAAGTACAGATGACTTACTCTGTAATAATGAAAATGCTGCTTAGTGAAACATCTGTTAAGGCAGCAGGGAAACTATTTCTTGCTGTTTTTATAGCTATCCAGTGTATTAATACATAGATTGAACTGTCTGTTGATTTTGCCCCTTACTGTGCTAAAACCATGTTTTTCTTTGTTTAGTCATCATTATCTGTTGCTTAAGCATGAGTCTGTTTAAAGAATATGTTCTCTAAGTTGTATGCCTCATTCTCATTAACACTAATAGAAGAACAACTCCTTAGGATCTCAAAGAAGCTAATATGTAATGTTCTTTATTTTAGTAATTATTTTGAAGTTTTATGCAGAAAACACAACTATATCTTAATTGTTAGATCTTTTTCACTTAGGTATCACAAAGATGGTGATGATTTTTAATCAATGTGTAGCTGTAAGGAAAATGGTTCTGCTGTCTAGCTCTAAAAATCTAGGATTCTGTACATTTTCATCTCTTTCCTCCTCCCCCTCGTAGCTTGGGAAAGTACTTACCAGTCCATTGATTTATTCATTCCTTTGTCACTCACAAATATTTATTGAGTATTAATAAGAACGATGACAATAGGAGACGTTTTTATAACGCCTTAAGATTTGTAAAGTGATTAACAAACATCTCATTTGATTCTGAAAACAACTTTGTGAATTAAGTGCTACAGATACTGTGCCCCATTTTACAGAGGAGGACACTGAGGCTTAGATTAGGTAAATGATTTTTCTTAAAGTCATACAGCCAGTGTCATATATAGGATCTCAACACAGATCTTCGTTATGCTAAGCCTAGCATCCTTGATACTCTTATCATGTTGCACAGCCCCATGTAGGCCTAAAGGGAAGAGTATTGCTCCACACTGTTAATTCACAAGCATTTATTAAGTACCTGCTGTGTATCATACCCTGTGCTAGATGCTAGGGATACAAAAACTAAAATAAAACATTCACTGCCCTCAAGGAGCATATTTCTGTCAAGGAAGATAACATACAGGTATATGTAAAATATAGCTCCTATATTACTTGACTACAGCCAAATAACCAGCTGAATACCCCTTAAAGTACACTTTTCACTATGATTCATTGTCCTTTCAACTCTTAGCCAGTGGGTATAACAAAAACTTTCATCTCCCTTTACTCTTCATTTTCCCACGTTCCATGACTAAGAATGTGTGTTACTGCCTGGTGTCTGTACTGTGCCTCAAAAAAGCAAGGAGACATCCCCATCCCAGTAAAAAGCCAAAAGATACTCCATGTAGCCTTTTACAGTCCATCCCTTCAGGCTGTCTCTGAAAAGGAAAGTTTCTTGCCCAGACCCTCAGTATACCTACTCATTGGTGAATCGATTTACCTCTTTGCTCCACGCTTGAATCTCCTCCCTAGCCCCATATTCTCTCACCAATTGTATCTTGTCCAACCCTAACCCTGGACTGCTCCCACCATCTGCTGCCTTCGCTCCTACAGATTTGTTACATGACCTCACCTGGCCCTCCCTGCAGCAGTCTGTGCCTGACACATAGCGTGTGCTTAATTAAATGCTTGTTCCCTTTTTTACATGTTGCTAGTGGGCTTGCTATTCTAACCCTTTTCAGAGTGATGGCAGTGGTAGTGATGATAATAACAATGATAATAATAACAACTAGTATTTACATAGCATTTTTAGATTTGCAAAGTGCTTTACATATGTTATCTCATTTTATCCTCAACTCTGGGAGATAGGTACCTTCATTTTACAAATCAGGAAACTGAGGCATAGAGAAGTTACATGTCCCAGAGCTAATCATTGTATGAGGCTAAACTTTATCTTAGGTTTTCCTGTCTCCCACTCTACTCACTGCACCATCAGCTTCCCAAGTCACCCCATTCTCAGGTAAGAACCTTGTCTCCAACTTCTCTAAAAAAAAATAAGGCCAGTCACATGGAACTCTCTCTCCTTTCCTCCTCCTTTCTTCACGTCACTCAGATAGTTTCTCTCACTATCTCTTCCTTCACCCCTACGTCAGATGAAGGGGTGGCCCTTCTCACTATTAGAAATCTTTCTACATGCATCCTTACTCTGGTTCCATCCCATCTTCTCCAGCAGATTGATTCCTCAATTATTCCCATTTTCTCCATCATAAATCTCTACTAATCTACTGACTGCTTACCTGTTACCTACAAACAGCCATTTCTCCCTCATCCTTAATAATCTCTCACTTGGTCCAACCATTCCCTCTAGTTGTCTTCTCTTTTATGGTGTGTCTTTGAAACCATCTCCAGTCTGACTTCTGACATCATTTAGCTGAGCCTGCTCTTTCCAGAGTTACCAGTGATCTTCTGATTGCCAAGTCTAATGACTTTTTCTCAATCTTCATCTTTCTTAGCCTCATTGTTGATCATCCTCTTCTCTGGGGTACTCTTTCCTCTCTATGTTTTTGTGACCTTGCTTTTCCCTCATGCTCCTCCTACCCATCTTCGTGCTCCTTCATAGAGCTTGACCTTTATCCAGCCCATGACCTCTGACTGCATGTACCCAAGAGTTTGCCTGAGGCCTCTTCTCTTTTCAATCTATGCCAGAGGTACTTAATATGGGGTCCATGAACCCACCCATCAAGGGGTCCTTTTATAGATTTCAGGGAGTCCTTGAAGTTGGATGAGAAAAAATATTTCCTTATTTTCACTAACCTTTTACTAAAATTTAGCATTTCCTTCAATTATGAATGTGACAACCAAAGTAGTATTAGTCCCTGTGACAAATTCTAGTTGCTGCGGATAACATGAAATAGTTTATTTTCATCAAGACTTCAGAATTACTGAAGCTATTAAATCACGTGTAATCACACTATCAACTTAGCTGAGCAACTATCAGGCACCAGGTCTGATGGTTCAGCCCCCAAACAGTGATGTCACATGTTCTCTCACATTAGTGACCTAGCCATCTTCATTGCTTTCCAGTATTCCTTACCTACAATTGTTTGGTGATCATTCATCGAAGGGAATAAGTTGCTTTCATTGTTTGTTAAAGTTTTGGAAAACTTGGCAGTTAAAATATGAATTCTTAAACCTCCCTGTGACTTTTTGTATCATAGAAAGGGGAGCTTCAGGTATAGACAAGTTCAAACATGTCTGACAGTTGAGATAATTTGAAATGTGTTCTTTAAAGTAACTTATTATTGCTAACAGATCGCACAATGATATGGGTCACATAGAATGTGATTTCTATGAGTAGAGAGGTTCTTTCTTTGTCTTTTTCTTTATATTCACTTTTGTACACTGTGTTACAAAGTGAAGTCACACACACAC